GGGCAGTCGCCGGCGGAGCGCACGTGGAAGCTCGGCGCGCCGGGGCAGCTCAGGGCAGGCGGGCAGCAAGCGGCACCGAGTCTCGGGCTGGGAGGCGGCGGATCTGTGGGGCGGGCCGCGTGTCTCCGGAGCGCCATGCAGTGGCCGTGCGCCCTGAAGTCGGGGGCCGCGAAGGTGCTGCTGGCGGCAGGTGAGAGAGGCCGTGGAGGGAGGACTTCGCCCCGGCGGGGAGCGGAGGGCAGGGCGCCGCCTGGCAGGCTGCGCGGGGAGGCGGGGAAGAAGCGCCCCCTTCCCTTCCCTCGGGCTTTGGCGCCGCCGCCGCGCAGGTGGAGGAGCGCTGCTTGCTGGGGACTGGGAAGGGCTTCGCTCCCCGGCCGAAAGCGGACGCTCCGGCGGCCCTTCCCGCTCCTCCGCCCGGCGGCGAGGCGGCTCCTTCGCGCGACTGCCAAATTTAGCCCGTCGGATAGCCGACACCGGGGAGTCCCAATGTTCCCTCTAAGCTGTGGAGTCCTGTGTAGTTTGGTGTCGTGGTGAAGTGCGCGGACTCTGATCTGGGGGAACCGGGTTTGATTCCCCACTCCTCCACATGCAGCTGCTGGATGACCTTAGGCAAGCCATAGTTCTGATCAGAGCTGTTCTTGAAAGAGCAGTTTGTGTCAAGAGCTCTCTCAGCCCCACCTACCTCACAGGGTGTCTGTTGTGGGGAGGGGAAGGGAAAGGAGTTTGTAAGCGGCTCTGAGACTCCAAGTGAAGGGCGGGGTATAAATCCAATCTCTTCTTCTTCTTCTTCTTCTCTGTGAGCAAAAATTCTACTTTGTGAGCTCCTGGCATTAAAGTTGTGAGCAGGTGATTTGGCTGCTGCATCAATGAGTCTGCTCTGGAGCCCTCCTTCCTGAGCTGAGACATAAAATCTGTGAGCCAGAGGCTAAAAGACTGTGAGCTAGCTCACACTCACTCAGCTTAGAGGGAACACTGGCGGGGCGGAGGCGCGCGGGGAGAGGGGGTGGCTCACCGGCCCGGGCCGAGGCGGGGATCGTGCCCCGCGCGGGACGGAAGGAACTGGAGAGGAAATCCCCCGTTCCCGAGGATGGAATGTCGCCTGACTCGTTTGGCGTCCAGACGTTCTCGTCGCGGGTCAGATCAGTGCGCGGGTTCCGCTGGAGGGTGGCCACGCGGGTGCCCGTGGAAGGGCCGTGCGGCGCAAAGTGGCCGGGCGGGTGTTTTGTGCGAGCAGCCAGGGTGTGGGCACTTTGTACGTGTGTGAATGGACCTCAGGCATAGCTCTTTGGGAACATGCATCCTGGACCTGAGTGTGTGAACTTGCGGGACATTATCAACCGCGCAGGGAGGATTGTGGGAACATGTGGAGGTGTGCCCAACCCTCCATGCATTGTGTGTGAACCAGTGTTCCCTCTAAGCTGAGTTAGTGTGAACTAGCTCACAATTTTCAGCCTCTGGCTCACACATGTTTGTCTTGGCTCAGGAAGGAGGGCTTCCAGAGCAAACTAGTTTATCCAGCAGCCAAATCGCTCGCTCACCACTTTAATGCCAGTGGCTCACAAAGTAGAATTTTTGCTCACAAGACTCCACAGCTTAGAGGGGATCGTTGGTGTGAACCCTTTTGTTTTTTGCTTTTCGCTATACAGTGGTTCCATAAATAACAACGCCTGATATATCCCGACAAGTTCTTTTAGTGGCGGTTATGTGGGAGAATGATGCAGCACAGGGCAGCCTGAATGGCACACATGTTCTGGGTCCCCATATAATTCTCCTCTCTCTCTCCCCCCCACTTGTAGCTTGCTTGGTGCTGGTGGATGGCGAAGGGATTGGACTACTACGGAATGAAGTTTACCCGAAAGAAGGCAGAGAAGATTTGGCCGTTTCCCAGCTCCTCCCGGCCCGGGAGATTTTGCAGCGTGGAGGAGAGCGAGAGGCAAGCGTCGTTGCCGCGTCCTCCGGGGATAACTTCAGTGAACTCCCTCGAGGTACGTCTGTGGGTTGTGTCGAAGCAGGGAGCTGTGTTTCTCTCTACAAAACGGTTCCTTTGGGGCGGGGCGGGTGCTAGTCGGTGCCTGGGCGGTGGGCTCCCTCCAGACCTCTGAGGCCGCTCTTTGATGTGCCAGACTGGGAATGTGGACAGTCGGCAGACCTCTTCATGGTGTTCTCTGGATCCAGTGGGGAAGTATAGCCATGTAGAGTTGTGTCTGTTGAGAGCGACGACTTTGAGCTGCCGATGTGAGGGGGCGGCAGATCCTCCCAGAGGTGTGACTGTTCCAGTTCGGCAGAGTTGGCGCAACTGGCGCATGCCAACTGGGGGAAAACTAAGTATAATATTTTTTAATGAATGGGGAAAGAACTAGTTGAGGTTTGAAGTATTTGAGCCAGTGTGGCTCAGTGGTTAGAATCTCAGACAAGGGTCTAGGAGACCCGGGTACAGATCCTCGCCCTGCTGTTGAAGCTTGCTGGGCGACCCCTGGCCAACCACACACTCTCAGCCTAACCTACCTCACAGGGTTGTTGTGAGGACAAAATGGAGGACAGGAGAATGATGTAAGCTGCTGGGGGGGGGGGAGGCAGGGCATAAAGATAAACCAATGTAGGCTTTGTGTAACCTAGCCTCAGCATGGTGGTACAGCACCCGTTTTACACATCCAAGGTCTCCAGTCTAGTATCTGGTGTTTTGAGAATCTTGGGACTAGGAAAAACCTGAGTGCCTGGAGAAAATGTGGCAGACACAATAAGTGCTGTGGGGCTAAAGGTTCTGGTATGAAGGACTGCTTAGCTCATTGCAAGCGCCACTTCGTGAAAGACAGGTTAAAAACCCAGCAAATAAGGTTCAGAGAGACATAATTTCTCTGCCTCGTGGACTAGCCGGAGACTAACTTTTGACTTCTTAGTTGTGAGCCTGTTGAGCAAAGTGCTTATGCACGTTTGTTTAGGCACCGATGCGTCTTGATTTTGGTAACCTTTGCTTCCCAGGAAGAGTGCTTAGAATGGGACTCTTGCACGGGAAGGCTTTGGTAACATGAAAATGTGCTGCTGCTTGGATCCTTGGGAGACTCGCTGGAGGGCTGGCCAGAGCATTAAGGAAACGGCAGGGGTGTGAGACGAGGTTACAAATGGGTACTGTTGTCCTTTGAAGCTGGAATAGAAAGGGAGCGATGCTCTGTCAAAGTCCTGGGAGTTGGTGAAGAGTTGGTCAGAGTACAGTCTGAGTCGTTTTTGTTCTTACACCTTCCGGGGGGGGGGGGGGGGGCGTTTGCTTTCCGTCCCAGCGTGGACCTTTCTCTCCCACCCCACCGCTTTGAGCCTGTCGTGCATTCTCGCCTACCCACAGAGCGTCCTGAATGTTGTGTGCCTGTCCTCCGGTGAAATGCAACTGTTCACCCTTCCGCCAGCCCCTGCCTTTAAATGGAGTTTTGCAAAATCAGGAAGCTGCTGGGTCAGAAGGCTGATTTTGGTTGGGGAGCCTCGGGGAAACTCGGGGAGCCTTTCTTTTCTGCCTGCTCCCCTTGATCTTGGGAAACACGGTCAGGTTGGAGTAAACTCTGGGCTGCTTCCTGCTCTCCTGCTGGGAGATGCTTGCGTACCTTGTGAATGACTGGATGTTTTTAGTGGCTTCCTGCTCTACCAGTATTTCGCCATGGTCGGAGCCTCACACTCTGCCTCCTAGTTTTCACTTCCAAGAATCTGCAAGCCCACCCGCTTCGGCATTTCCTTCGCACCTCCTCCCCCTGATTGCAGCAACATCCTTCCTCCCGTCAAAAATATTTGCCAGCACTGGAGAGCCATAGCAACAGTGCTTTTAGGTGCCACCAAAGCAAGAGAGTGGTGGCACCTAAAAACCAAAGCGAGAGAGATGGAGCTGCGGTGGCTCAAGTGGTTAAGACGCTAAACTGCAGGCTGTGGAAGGTCGGTCGTTCGGCAGTTCGAGACCCGAGTGTGCCGCATGACGGAGTGAGCTCCCGTCTCTAGTTCCAGCTCCTGCCAACCTAACCGTTCGAAAGGAAGAAATTGCAAGTAGATAAATAGGTACCACTTTGGTGGGAAGGTGACAGCGTTCCGTGCGCCTTGGCGTTTAGTCATGCCGGCCACATGACCACAGAAATGTCTTCCGGCAGTGCTGGCTCTTCGCCTTGGAAACAGAGATGAGCACCGCAACCCTAGAGTCGGATTCAACTGGCTTTCGAGCAAGGGAACCTTTACCTTTACTTTACTGTGGAATCAAACTTTTTAAACTCAAAGCAGTAGAGGCTTCTGCAGATCTTAGCCCCAGAGTGTGACACTAGCAGGCTGAGAAGGGGTGGGTGGGTAGATCTCTAAACTGCAAGCTGTCGACCACTTTAGATATCAGTTCTCCGCTGCTGCAAGTGAATCACTTCTGCCAGCCTCAGCAACCATTCTGAGAACAATCTGGCAGGTGGGGGTGGATAACTTCTGTAGTCAAGAAAACTAACACTTAGGCAGAAAAACTCTCTGAAAGGAGAACCGTGTCTTGACACAGAGTTAGAAGGGATCCTAGAGGTCACCTACTCCAACCCTCTTGCTCAGTGCTGGAATTAGTCAGCTACAGCACCCCTCTCTGCTTAAAGGAGCACACACCTTTAAAAAAGAGAGACCTTTACCTTTACTTTTTTAAAGCAAGAGAGACCTTGAGTGTGGACGTTTGGCATTGCTTGCTGGGGTCCCAGCACCAAGGAGACGTGTGGCCGAAGAGGGCTGGGCGGCTGGGCGGGGGGCGCACACGCACAAAGCTTCAGGTGTCCGTCACCCTGTGCTGGCTCCTCCTGGGCGCGTGGGCCTGTCCCAACGGAAGTATTAATTCTCCATGCCGTAGGTGTGGGTTGGTCGGCGGAGGGGATCCACAGATGACTCACCCTGTCCCCCACCTACCTGGTGTGGCTCTTCTTTCTTCGCTCGGCTTAGTCACTGGGCCTGAAGCGATGCCATCCGGGGGCGTCTGGCTGGGTTACTGTTTCATCCTCCCGGCCTGTTCGTGTCCTGAGTCTCTGGCATGTGTTGTCCCTGAACTGGATCTGAGGGCAGCAGGTATTAGGTTCCACTGCGTGGGAGAAGCTCGCTGTTGGCTGACAGGGGTGCCCGTATCAAGATCGGTTCTTTCCTGGCATGCCCTCCCCCCCCCCCCCGCCCACCGGCCTGGGCTGCCTGCACAGCAAACGCCCTGAGAGTTAGAGCAGTTCCTCAGTGGAACAGGCTTCCGCGGGAGGCTGTGGGCTCCCCCTTCTTTGGAGGTTCTAAAGCAGAGGAATAGATTGGCCCTCTGACGGCGATGCTGATTCTGTGAACTTCGGCAGAGCATGAGAGGGAGGGCGGGAAGGGATGAGAGCTCTCCTGGCCCTGTCTTGCATGCCCGGGATAATGCCGATCGCCACTTTGGGGTCAGGAAGGAGTTTTTCCTTTAGGCCAGATTGGCCCAAGGATCCCGGAGGGGTTTTTTTGGCCTTCCTCTAGGTGTCGGTCAGGGGCAGTGCCCCCTCTAAGCTGTGGAGTCTCGTGAGCAGAAATTCTGCTTTGTGAGCTCCTGGCATGAGAGTTGTGAGCGAGCCATTTGGCTGCTGCATGAGTCCGTTTGCTCTGGAGACCCATCCTTCCTGAGCTGAGACAAAAATGTGTGAGCCGGAGGCTAAAAAAACTGTGAACCTCGCTCACACTCACTCGGCTTAGAGGGAACGCTGGTCAGGGGCCAGTGGGGGGTGGGGGAGGAGGTAGTTGTGAATTTCCTGTGTTGGGCAGGAGGCTGGACTAGATGATGCTGGAGGTGCCTTCCACCTCTTCTGTTTCCATGTTCCCCTCCGTGATAGGAACTGGTGGGCGGGCCCAGTAGCCGGCACCCCGCTTTGGTAGAAGCGCCTTTGTTCCTGGACCACAGCCGCGTACATCCTGGCTTCATTGTTCTCCATCTTCTTCCTTTGTCCGCTCACAGTTTATTTTTTGACTCCCTTCAGTTTTTCTCTCCTTTGCTTCCAGCTTCCCCCGTGAGCCCTGATTTTCCAGTTTGGGTGGGATATTTGATTGGGTGAGTGACGTCACTGTTCACATCCGGAGGGGCTGGTGGGCACTTGTGGAGGGTGTGGCTGAAGATCCTTTGGTGGTCCTTTTTTTTTTTTTAATCCCCTGAGAACAGGGTAGCTTTATTATTTTTTTGTTACACCTAAGCACTACAGAAAAGAAAAAGGGAAGGGGAAAAGTTAACCCAGGATAAAGGACAGTAAATAAAAACCCACACTATAACTAAAAACCCAAGAGGGAGGGTCCTCAACAATTAGTATCCTGTTAGTATTCAAAACAAATAACTTTTCGTTTAAGTCAGAGCCAGTTTGGTGTAGTGGTTAAGTGTGCAGACTCTAATCTGGGAGAACCGGGTTTGATTCCCCATTCCTCCACTTGCACCTGCTGATGTGACCTTGGGTCAGTCACAAGCTCTGGCACAGCTGTTCTTGAAAAAGAGCAGTTTGTGTCAGAGTTCTCTCAGCCCCACCCACCTCACAGGGTGTCTGTTGTGGGGAGGGGAATGGAAAGGAGTTTGTAAGCCACTCTGAGACACCTTTGGGTAGTGAAGGGCGAGGTATAAATCCAATCTCTTCTTCTTCTTCTATCGGAAGTTAGTAAGTCCGTGTTCGTACCAGATCCTGTCCAACACTTCAGAAGAAATACTTTTTTGAGCAGATTGGAGAATAAACTCCCAGGGGCCCACAACAAATCGATACAGGACTTCTGGAGCGTTTCTTTATCAGTGGGTCCAATCTCTGATTAGAATCAACAAGAAGATGATGAGACAAGCAGATGAGGCCCTGCGATGAAAACAGAGGGTCTGAGCTTCTTCCCTGGTGTTGTATGTGCGCTCTAGAGTAACCTGCTGTATTGTTATTGAGAAGGCCTGGGAGAGGGAGAGAAACTGATATGCTCCTGGGGTGTGCTGGATCTTGGTGCAGAACTATTTGGGGAGGACTGGGGAGCGGCCAGT